TGAAAGTGAGGCACCTAACACGTGGATGGTTTTCCCCAGAAGCGTTGCATGCCCATGGAAGTCAGTCAGGCATCCACTACTTATCTAGGCTCCTAACTGAAAGCTGCGGCTGTTCTGTTCCACGCCCTGGAAACGTGAACTCCCGTGTCTGCCTGCAGCCTCCTGGTCCTCTCCCCGAGGAACACGTTCGACTCTGTTCCCTAGAGTCCCATTGTGCCAGGGTTGGGGTCTGGTGGCAGCCGGGCCGTGCCGTTCCCCGCTGGGGCCCTTCGCTGTACGGGAGACGCTGTTCCGAAGGGAGCAGGCAGGCTCTTCTGTTCTGTTATCAGCACTGATAACTGGCTGCCGTTCAGCAGCGGTAGTCGCGGTTATGCTGCTTCCTGTGGCTTGTTCATGCTTTAATAAACAGACATCGACCACGGCCGTGCCTAGCCACTCGCCAAAGAAGAGATCTTCCTTCCACCCCACCCCCAGGTAAGGAGAAGACATGAAATAGTCGGTGACCTTTCCAATTCTAAGGGCGAGCGTAAGCTGCATGGAAGGGGCTTGTCTTCAGGATCCTGAGCCGTGTCAGTGGCTGGGGATACAACTCCATGATTTTTGTTACTGAAACCAGCTATTTCTCAAAAGGTGCTTGGCTCTGGCCCAAGGCAGAACAGTTTTATTGCGTGTAGGAAATGGCTCACCAGGGAGACTTGTACTTTTGCTTTCTGTGTTGATGAACTGAAATGGTGTCGATCTCTGGCCAGCCTAGCGTACTCGGGTGAAAACGCTCCAGCTGCCCAGAGAAACAGCTGTTGTTTGAACGAGAAGACAGGCAAAAGGGACAGGTGGGCAGAGCGAAAGGCCAGGGGCTCTCGAACGGAGCCCTGAAGACCCCTGTGGATGAGATGTGTAGTGGGTCTTAGGGACCTCACTGGAAAATCAATGTCCTGGGGTCTTGTACTCAGTGGGATCAAACTAACCCTGAGCAAAGGCCTGGGAGCCGCCTCTCTCCATGCACTTCCCTGCTGCTGGTGGGCGGGTGGACAAACAGGGGCAGTTGTGTCCTGGCAGCAGAAAGGAGGGGGGCAGCAGACGTGCCCTAACAGGATGCTCTAACCTCTTGTTTGATTTTTCTCATCACTTTGCCCTCGTTAACCTTCTAACCTCAGCACTGACCAGAGCCAGGCTCTCGGTGAGAGAACGCTAGTCGGGGGGGTGTCTGCCACCAGGGACCGGAGAGCGAAGCCGGGCTTGTGCCGGGGCATCGAGCTCCCGAAAACCAGCACGTGCGAGGCCCCCGTGTTGCAGGGTGAATTTCACTCCTGCACAGGGGGCCGGCATGGGCTATGCAGGAAGGGGTGAGAGGGGAGCGTGGGCTGACTCTGCACCAGGGTGAATTTTAACCTTCAAAGTCTAGCTGCCCTAGTGTGCTGTTCACTCTGGCAGCTCATTCGAGACCAAGTTTCTTTCCAGTTGCAGATGTCACCTAGGGCAGATGGATCAGAAGATCGGTCATCGGGTTTGTCTGTTATTCCTGAGGCATCTCTAAATCCCCTAGTCCGAGCACTTGGTCCTACCTCTGTTCAGTGTGTCCTGGGCAGCTTTCATTCCTTCAGCGTCCCCTGCTGAGTGTGGCACAGCGCCTTTCTGTGAGCATCCAGCAGGCTGTTCCCGCTAGCCTGTTGTTATCCGGCCCATAGCGGCTAGCCCTGGTGCTCCAGATCCTCAGGATCGGCGCTACACCCCAGCTTTTGATCAGGTTCGTGGAGAATCCCCTCAGTGTGCCAGACCCCCATGGGGCCCCTCTACCTTCAGGACAGGCCACGCTGGGCTGCAGCCCCCCTGCTTCGCCCTGTGAGCTCCGCTCACCAAGCCCCCGGAGGCAGACTCCTGGGACGGACACGCCCGCCCCGCAGGTGCCTCGGCAGGTATTGACACCTCAGGAATCCTGGCTTGCGAATGCTATCTGGGGACTTGCAGTGCTGCGGTCCGGTCGGCTCAGAGAAATGAAGGGTAAAGCAGAGTCCGTTCTGCTCCGCCCAGAGCAATTCACCAGCCAAGCTGTCGGGAGGCATCTTCAGGCTCCCTGTCAGCTGCCAGAGCCAGGCGTCTCCTCACCCCTCTCCGTCCTGTGTTCTCCACCCAGGGTCTCTGCTCCGCTTCCCTGCTAAGTGGGAGCTGGGAGTCCTTGTTTCTCTGGGCCCTCGGTTGAGCTGGGTCAGTTTCTGCCCGTTTTAAAATAACTCATTCTGGGCAGACAGCAAAGTCTGTTAGTCTGCCCTGAGAGCAAACATCCTCCTTCCCCCCACCCCCCAACGACAATGCAAAGTGGGGAAACTGAGGCATGCACAGGATTCATAGAAACACTTCTGGCAATTCCCACTTCATGGCCCGTGCCTGGGGGAGGCACTTAGCGCAGGCCGCTCTGCGGCGTGTGGGGGGAGTTATTTTTTGTCTCCTGTGGGGGGAGGGGCGATAACAAAGACAGGAACGTCTCTGAAAATGGGGAAGACCGGGTCCATTCTCTTTCTGCTGAATTCAGAAATGGCCGAGGGGATTTCCATCAGCCTTAAAGAAGACTGAGCTTTGGGCTCGGATCAAGCATGGGAGATGCCACCCTTCCAGGCGGCCCACCCAATGGGCGAGGAGCCTGGCAAAACGGGGTGTGTGTATGTGTGGGTGGGTGGGTGTGTGTGAAAATCTGACTGGGACCCTCCCCACAGGCCTGTGATGACAATCACTAGTCGCTCCAGCGGAGCATCCTCCACCGTGCGGGTCCGAGCGTGTGGCAGACGCCCCGCAGGAGTCGTTCCCCGGTGAACTAAGACGTGCCCCTGCAGCCCGCAGGCGGCCCCCGCAGCTCCGTGTCCCTGCGGCTCTGACGCTGTTCTCTGTGTGTTGCCAGGTTCCCCGAGTCAGCCGAGATGGCGCAATGGAATCAGCTGCAGCAGCTGGACACGCGGTACCTGGAGCAGCTGCATCAGCTCTATAGCGACAGCTTCCCCATGGAGCTCAGGCAGTTCCTGGCCCCCTGGATCGAAAGCCAGGACTGGTAAGTCCTCGTGCAGTGCCGGTGTCAGTCTGCCTGCTCCAGGGCATGAGCCAGCCTCCAGCGCATGGGGGTCAGGCAGGGACTTACCTGGGGACGGCTATCCCGTAACAGCAGCAGCTGGGGGCGGGAGACTGCACTAGGTGGGCACCTGGCCTGGCAATCAGGGCTTTGGAGCTGTGCTCCGGCTCCGCTCCAGCTCCAGGCAAAAACCTGCAGCTCCACTGCTCCAGAGCTGCTCCGGGCTCCAGCTCCGGGCTCCGCGCCAAAGCCCGGCTGGCAATTCCTCTGTTCCAAACCTCCTGCACTTCGGCTGCTGTTGCCAAATGGAGCGTCTGCGCTTTGGCCTGCTGTGGCTGTCTGGCTGACGCTCTAACCGGGGCCGATACTAGGTGCCATTGAAGTCGCGCCCGGTGGGTTTCAGGCCGCCTGGCCCTGGCGCTTAGCCCTTTGCAGGGCGTGAATCTGGCCCTTGCTGAGCGTCTCTCCTAGAACCGGAGCTGGGGGAGGGATTTGCAAACACTAGCACTTCCCCTCCCCTTTCTCGCCTGCGTCACTGGCTGACCTGATGCTGCCAAGGCGGTGAACGTTGGTGTGCGTCACACCTGCAGGCAGGTAGGGCAGCCCCGGTGCATGGCGCTGGAGACAGACGGGAGCACTTTTAATGGTGGATTTGACATTACACATTGCAAGCGGGTCCAGGATTGGGCGCTGGCTCTTGAAGACTCTCCCCGCGGCGGGAGGTGGAGGGTACCGATGCAGAGCGCCTACTGAGCTCGCAAAGACTGGCTCGGGCCAAGCTGTCAGTGGCAGCCTAAAAACGGCCCCGTAGAATTTGCACGCACGGCTGCTGCATGAGTGAGCCGGGCCTGCACGCCCGGATGAGCAGGTTTCTGCAGCACTCGACTCAAGTGTGCAGACGGCGCCGCTTGCTCTCATCGGGGCTTTCTTAGGGGGCCCTCGCCGGGCAACTAGGTGCCCAGGGGTCATGTCCCAGCAGGGAGCCTGGTCCTGCCCTCGCTGTGCCCATGGGAGTCGTCCTGGGCTAAGGCTGGGGTGAGCAGAGTGGGGCCGGTGCTGGTGCACGGACTGTTCCTACCCCCCTCCTTGCATCTGGGCTACGAGTTTATTTCAATCCCGCCTCTCTGCCGTCCCTCCCCGCAGGGCGTACGCTGCCAGCAAGGAGTCCCACGCCACGCTGGTGTTCCACAACCTGCTGGGAGAGATAGATCAGCAGTACAGCCGCTTCCTGCAGGAATCCAACGTCCTCTACCAGCACAACCTGCGCAGGATCAAACAGTTCCTGCAGGTGGGTGCCGTGCAGCCGGGAGGCGGGGGGGGAGCTACAGCTCTGGGGGTCCCACAAAGAGCCTCTGGAGTCAGTAGCACGGGTGGCAGGGTGGGGCGCATGGGGGAGAGGCTCGGCCTCCTAACCTAGCACCGCTCTCCTACGTGGTGGCGTCTCTCGCGCTCAGATGCGGCGGGGTTCTCGGCCCGGCTGGCTGGTGAAGGACGCTCCGATTGCTTCCCTGACCTCGGGACCCATGAAACTTACAGGCTGGACTCTCCCTTAGGCCCTGTCTAGCTGCACCATGTAGCCACGCAACAAACCACTGCTGGGCCCTTTGCACGGGGCTGTCGCCCCTTCAGGTAGGGCGTCCCCGGCCGGCGTCTCGCTCGGTAGCAACGCCGAAGCAGCAGCCCCACCTCAGCATCGCCTTCCCTCGGGGCTCTGGCAGCAGCCGTCTCGGGTCAGCGCCTGACCCCAGCCAGGCCTGTCTCCGAGTCGGAGCTCGGCATCCCCTCCCAGCCAGCCCCCAGCCTCCCCCTTTACGCCCCCCTCCAAGCCTATTGCCGCTGTGTCCGGGTAGGACTGACAGAGCCCCCAGCAGCTCGTTAACCCTCTCCTGGCTGTTGCAGGGTTCAGACGCCCCGTCGTGGCCCCTGTATCGCAGTAGAACTGCCCACAGGAGGGTTTGCACCAGTGTAACTATGCTGGTCACCCTCCTGCCTCCCGGTGACATGGCTCTGCTGGTCCGACGTAGTCGGGCCCCTCCGTGCTGCTGTGAGAATGGGGCCAGGGCTGCTGTTTGAGCAGGCCCCAGGCCTTACTGAGACTGGCGGTCAGGACTCCTGGGTTCTAGTCCCAACTCTGACAATGATTCCCTCTGTGACCAGGTCACTTCCCGGGGAAACTGAGGCACGGGGTGGGGGGCTTGGCAGGTTCTACTAACTGCTTGTAAAATGCACTTGTGGATCGTCTGTGTCCAGGGAGGCACCGGCAGCTCATGCTGGACTCTGCAAAACTGAGACGAATCCACTCGATATTTTAGGCAGGTGTTTTTGAGGGAGAAAACCTCAGCCTAGCAGGCCGTGATTCCCAGTTCCTGTTAAACCCCTCAGCCGTTCCCCGAACGGCTCTGAAACGCTCGGCCTTTGCCCTAGGCTTGCCAATCTGTCGCTGTCGTCACCTGCTCAATGTTGGTTGGATGTTTTGTTTTTCTCCTGTCCCCCTCTCCGAAAACGCATATAGAGCAGGTACCTGGAAAAGCCAATGGAAATCGCCCGGATTGTGGCTCGGTGTCTCTGGGAAGAAACTCGCTTGCTCCAGACAGCTGCAACCGCGGCCCAGGTGAGAGCAAGGGGCGGGAGGGCTCCAGCTCTTCACTGAGGCAGTTCCCTGCCAGACGCTCCCCCCGGCCGTGATGTAGAACAGGCCTACGCGCCCTTTGGGCGGAAGTGGGGTGTCGGTGGTACCAAAGGCCTTGTGGGATTTGAGGGGCCATTTGCAGGATCCGTCAGGACGGGGGCCGTGTTAGCGCAGTGTGCGTGGAAAGCGGCGAGTTTCCAGCAGTGCAGGACGCCAACGAATGTCCTTTGGCTGCTGTCGCTTGTGTGCTAGGTAGGGCCCTGTGTCACTTCCCTCCCGGTCTGTGCATCCACCTGTCTTCTTCCCTCGTCTGTGTTCAGCTTGTCACGCTGGGTGGCAGAGAGAGCGGCAGGCTGGGGCGGGGGTGGGTACATCTGCTAAGCTCCAGGGCCCCCGAGCCACAATCCCAGGACTCCACGCTGCTGGTTTGATTCGTGGGGGGGAGGCAAATCTGCTTGAAGCCCTGAGCCAAGAGGCCAGAGTGCCCGAGCTCCCTAGCAGCGCAAGCGGCTCCCCCGCGGGCAGACGGTATTTCTGCAGGGTCTCCCAAACGCCCATCTTGTTTCCCCCTTGCAGCAAGGCGGGCAGGCGTCCCACCCCACGGCCGCCGTGGTGACGGAGAAGCAGCAGATGCTGGAGCAGCATCTACAGGACGTGAGGAAGCGAGTTCAGGTAGGTCAGCCCAGCTGCCCCAGGACTGGCCCTGGGGATCCCCACCCCTCCCCTGCTGAGTGCGTTTGAACCTCTGTCCCTGAAGTGACCCCCGACTCCTGGCCTTGCAGGATCTGGAGCAAAAGATGAAGGTGGTGGAGAATCTCCAGGACGACTTCGACTTCAACTACAAGACGCTGAAAAGCCAAGGAGGTAAAGGGGGAAGCGCCTGTCTGGAGGGGAACGTGCTGGGAGGTGTGACCTGGCGGGGGCCAGCCTGGCATTCCTCCCAGCGAGGGCAAGGACAGGGCACCGGCCTGCAACTCGGGAGACCCCAGTTCTATTCCCGGCTCCGCCACAGACCCCCTGTGACTTGGGGCAGTCGCTCAGTCCGTGCGCCTCGGCCGGGCCGTGTGTGTGTGGGGGGGGATCGTGCTCTGCGCCTCGGCCTGGCCCAGCCCGGCATGATGGTCGCGCTCTGGGCCTCAGCATGTGGCGGGGGTCCTGGCCCGGCGTGACGGTCGCTGTCTGGGCTTCAGCCCCCCAGGCAGTGGGGATCCCGGTGCTGACCGGGGGTGTGAGGATAAATGCGTGAGAGGTTGGGGGTGGTCTGCTACTCCCGTGTTGGGGGGCCGGACGGGGGTGCGGGAACAAATTGAGGGGGTGCTAAGAGCTATTGAACCAAACTGTAAACGCTGCACATGATGGAAACCTCCTCAAGCCGGGGGTGCGGCAGCCAGTACCCAGAGTTCCAGCCCCTCTGGGGCTGGAGAGAGGGAGAGTTAAAACCAAAAGCCCAGCACCTTCTGCTGGGCAGGGGACCGTTTGAGCAGGGAGCTGGGAGGACGTTGGGGTGGGTGCGTGTGGTGAGTAACTCGCTCTTCTCCCCACCCAGATATGCAGGATCTGAACGGAAACAATCAGTCTGTGACGCGGCAAAAGATGCAGCAGCTGGAACAGATGCTGACCGCGCTGGACCAAATGCGCAGAGTACAGTGCTCCCCTCCCCTGGCTTCCGTCTGCCCTCGGCTCAGCCTCCCCTCCCCCCGCATGCCCCCGCTTGCCAAAGCGCCCGGGCGGGTCCCTCTCGGGCGCCAAACCGGCTGTGTCTCGTCTTAGGCCCGGGTAGAAAAGACCGGAGGGAGCTCCTGCCTCTGCCAGCGAGTGGTCTCGTGCCGAAGAGCAGCTGAGCTGTGTAGCAGGACGCTCCCGTCCTGTCCGTGCGCACACGTGATCTCGCTAACCCAGTGCCGGTGCTTTCAGACCTACCCACCCCGACTTCTGCTGATTCTGTTTGAAAGCAAAAAGCCCCCACCCAAGGGTGTGCAGTGGCTGAACTAAATCCCCTTCCCAGCTGCTGTGTGTTCGTGGTGCACCCCGTGTGCAGAGAGCAGCCCGGGGCCAGACCCCCCAAAGGGCTCTGCTCCCATGTAGGCACCATGACGTGGCCAGAACGGAGCTTGGCAGGTTGGGAGCTGAGCTGGGAAATCTGGCCCCACCTCTGGGCACTGAGCACTTGAACATCTGTCCCTAAATTCAGTGTCGGGGTGCTCCGATACCACGGTGAGGGGCTTGATAGAAGGACTGGCTAGAACAGAAAACGTGCACAGAGCCGCTGGAGAAGCCACTGGTGCCGGCAGAGCTGCAGGTGCCTTGCAGGGGCCCCTCCCGTCTAAGGGATCTAGATCTTGCAGGGACCGGAGGAATCTGGCGACACCTGACCGTCTTGTTCCCTCGATTAGGGGATTGTGAGCGAACTGGCCGGGCTGCTGTCGGCCATGGAGTACGTGCAGAAGACACTGGCAGACGAGGAACTGGCTGACTGGAAGAGAAGGCAGCAAATCGCCTGTATCGGGGGCCCTCCCAACATCTGCCTGGATCGCCTGGAAAACTGGTGAGAACCTGTGAGCCCCCCCTACGGCCTGTTCCCATTAGTGCTCCCCACCGAGAGCTGGCTGGGTGCTGCTCGGATCCCAAGCAGGGCTTTACTTCAATGCACCAGGAACAGCTCTCTGCCCCGCCTGGCCGAATAGTCCCCAGCGTTTCCCCAGCCCAAAGGTGCCCTGTACCAGCCCGCCTGGCTGCCGGAAGAATTCATGGGGTTTGATTCGCCTGTCAAATACAATCCTTTGCCCCGGCCGGCCGGTGTGATCTTGCAAGGTGGCTGTGAAGACTCCAGGCCCTGCACTGGCCACTCCTGAGCAATGTACAGAGTTCTCCTTCGTTCCCCTGCAGTCTGAGGGGACAGATACCGAGCAGGGAGCCAGGAGTCGCCCCTCTGCTGGCGGCAGATTGCCGGTGCTCAGGACAGGAGTAGGCTGAGCTAGTGAGAGGTGCTCTCAGCTGGCTAACTCGGCTTCCCCCTCCTCTAGGATCACGTCCCTCGCGGAGTCCCAGCTTCAGACACGGCAGCAGATCAAGAAGCTAGAGGAGCTGCAGCAGAAAGTCTCCTACAAGGGCGACCCGATCGTCCAGCACCGGCCCATGTTGGAGGAGAGGATCGTGGAGCTGTTCAGGAATCTAATGAAAAGGTACCGTGGGCGCTTCCCGGGTCACGAGGACAAAGCGCTGCTCCCGCTGACCCTGGGCGTGTCCGGGAGCAGCTAGCGCCGGGATGAGGCTGGCGGTGTGGGCGTGTCTGAGCATGACGCTCCATGTGCTCTCGTCCCGCAGCGCCTTCGTGGTGGAGAGGCAGCCCTGCATGCCCATGCACCCGGATCGCCCCCTGGTCATCAAAACCGGCGTGCAGTTCACCACCAAAGTCAGGTGAGGCTTGGTTTGTGCTGGGGGAGCTCAAGGGGCGCTGTCGAGGTGGGGAGGCCAAACGCGCGGCCACTGTTAGTGTGCATCCAGAGGGTCCTTTCGCTCCTTAGTTTGGTTGGAGAACGTCCGTGCTGTCAGGGTGGGGAATCGGGCCCGAATGCCCGGCCCTGGGTGGCGGTGCTGCAGGCACAGACCAGTTGCTGGCGCAGCACCAGCTGCTCTGTTCCCGGAGACCCTGCGGGTTCTTGTTCCTCTGCCCTGCAGCCAGGGCTGGTGGGAGGACGTGGCGAGCGCTCCTGCATCCCCTGCTGGTCGCGGTTCTGCCTCGACTGATCTCTTGGGAAGCGGTGCCTCTGCCGGCCGATGTGCCTGGCTCCTGTCGCTGTATTCCCCTGCCCCAGCCTCTCCCGCACGGCACCTTTCTGCTCCGTCACGTTGGAACGCTGAGCAGCATGACCCCAGCCCCTGGGTTCGGAGGCAAAGGCCCCGGTGCGGTGTGTCATCCAGCAGCTGGCGTAGGAGCGCGTAGAGTGGGGAGGGACGGGTGTGAGATCGAGAGCCGGGGGCTCCCGAGTACTGATCCCAGTTCCGCCGGGGGCCCGCCGCGTGGCCTGGGACCAGTCCCTTCCCTGGTCAGATCCCCAGCTGGGAGCTGTCCCCTGAGTGCATGGGGGAGCTGGGTGCTAACAGCCGGATCCTCGGAGCACCCGCAGCTCCCAGCACACTCGACAGCGGCTGCGAGGGCTGGTGCTCTGGGAATGGGGTTCTGGTCTCCCGGAAGCGGAGACATCCCTGGGCCTTTGCCGGGGATCCTTGGTGGGCACGGCACCACACTGCGCGTTGTGCGCAGCGGTGTGGCCAGGGAAGTGCGCACGGCTCTGCTGGTTTAAGTGGTGCTTAAACCTCCTGCGATTCTCCCGGGATGCTCGGCTCGTTGCCACCAGCAAAAGCTGCTCTGCCATCCAAGTGGCTCGTGCTGAAACACCTGCTACCTTCCGACAGGTTACTCGTCAAGTTCCCTGAGCTGAACTACCAACTGAAGATTAAAGTTTGCATTGACAAGTGAGTATTGCGCTCTGGGCTGGGGTGGAGTCGCTGAACAAAGGGGCAAGCCGAGGCCATGGGCTCTGCCCAGGCACCAGCCTCTCCTGGGGGAATCCACTCCTGTGCTGAGACCCAGCACGAGCGAGGGCTCCGTGGGCACGGGGGAGGCTTTCACGCCCACTGGACGTGGCCCTCGTTCGGGTGCCCTTTGGGTGCTGGGGTCAGAGTGCACATGAGCCGTCCGCACCAAGCCAGGGCCCCTTGGGAGCTGCAGTGCCCACCTGGGTGGGGGGATGTTAATGGGACGCGCCCTCCACTCCGGAGCGAACCAACACTGCGCTTCTCTCTCCTCTGCAGGGACTCTGGTGAGGTTGCCGCGCTCCGGGGGTAAGTGGAGCCAACGCGTCTCGTTTTTCTCCGTCCCCCGATGCGCGCGTCGTCCTACCCCCTGCGCTGTTGCTGGGCTCTGGGGAGTCCTAACCGTCCTTCTCCCCCCTCCAGGTCCCGGAAGTTTAACATCCTGGGAACGAACACCAAGGTCATGAACATGGAGGAGTCGAACAACGGCAGCCTGTCGGCGGAGTTCAAGCACCTGGTGGGTAGCTGGCCTGGGGCCCGGCCCCGTAGCTGGCCTGGGGCCCGGCCCCATAGCTGGCCTGGACTTTAGCTTGTCCCTTCTCTTTGCAGACACTGCGGGAGCAGAGGTGCGGCAACGGGGGCAGAGCCAACTGCGACGTGAGTGTCCGAGCCTGCGCGCGTGGCCGGAGATGCGGCCTGGGGGGCCCTGAAGGAGACCCCTCTGGTCCCCTCCCTCTGGGCTGGGAGAGCTCCCACCAGTCCTTCCCCCGGGCGGCTGTTCCAGAGCTCACTGTGGAGTTCTCTTCTCCAGACTGTCTGTAGGGAAGGTGTCATGGAGTGTGGGGGGACACAAGGCCCTGCACCCCCGGCTTCCTGCGATTCACCATGACTCTCAGCCAGCCAGTAAAGCAGAAGGTTTATTTAGACGACAGGAACACAGTCCAAGACAGGTCTTGCAGGCACAGACAACAGGATCCCTCCCAGTTAGGTCCATCTTGGGGTCCCAGGGCCCCACAGCCCCCTTGGGAGGTCAGAGCCCTGTCTGCCTCCCAGCCATTCCACCAGCCAGCCCCTGAAACTCTCCCCCCAGCGACCCCTCCCACAGCCTTTGTTCAGTTTCCTGGCAAAGGTGTCACCTGGCCTCTAACCCCTTCCTGGGTTCTCACATTACATGCTCAGGTATTTTCCCTCAAGGCCAGTCTCCCATCCCCCAGTGCAGACCGTCCTAGCCAACCTCCCCTGCCTTCCCAGCCAACACTCCCCACTCAGCATTCAAAGACCACATTAAGAACAGTCCCAGTTCATCACAGAAGGCAAAGCCGCACCCCAGTGGGCCCCTGCAAAAGGAGTCAAGCCTGAGTACCCGCAGGGCGTCTGGGGTGCACGGACCGCTGCTGGCCTCGCTGTGCCCGGGTGCTGGCCCACTGGCGCCCATGCGGCTCTGTGACCCAGAGCAGCGCCTGGTCTGTCGGCCGCCAGGCCCACAGGGGTGCGGGGGAAGCCGGTGTCCTCTGAACATCCTGTCACACTCCCAGGCCTCCCTGATCGTCACGGAGGAGCTGCACCTCATCACCTTCGAGACCGAGGTCTATCACCAGGGCCTGAAAATCGACCTGGAGGTGAGTCCTGTGGGAATCGCTGCCGGGCGGAGCTTCCCGCCCCGCTGCCCCCGGCGGGAGCAGTAGGGGGTCGCCCAGCCCAGCTGGGAAGGTGCTGCCGGCTTCCCCCTCAGATAAAGGGCCCGCTTCTCCGATAGCTTGTCCAGGCCTGTGGGAGCAAAGGCCCCTCCTGTGGGAACGCAGAGCATTAGGCAGAGCGCCGTCTCTCTCCTCGATCGCTGCCTTCGCGAGGCTCCCAGGAGGAGATGGGCGAAGGGAGCCAGGACGCTGCGGTGGCCTTAGCACTGGGTGAAGCCGCTCATGGCAGGGGGACGGCCAGCTTGAGCAGGGAGAGCGCGCTAGAGACGAGGCTGCGCTCGCATTGGGGACCCATGGCAGGGCGCAGCCAGACAGCTCGGCTTGCAGAACGCTGCAGGGCCTGGGCCGGGAGATGGGGCCGGGGCAGGCGGGGGGTGGGGGGGTGTCCGCAGGGGCCTAAGGAAACAACCGTGTCTCGTCTCTCTAGACCCACTCGCTGCCCGTCGTGGTCATCTCCAACATCTGCCAGATGCCCAACGCCTGGGCGTCCATCCTGTGGTACAACATGCTGACAAACAACCCCAAGGTACGTGTGCGGCCTGCCCAGCGGTGCCCTGCCCGCCGCGTGGCCCCTGAGGGGCTCCCCCGAGAGCGTCTGTCTGCCCAGCTCAGCTGCCTGACCGCTCCAGGTCAGACTCGTGTGAAACAGCCTCCGAACCCGAGTCTGTGCGCCGCATGGCAGCAGCGCTTTGAGTGGGCGTGCCGGGCCCGGGGGGGTGCATGGCTGGCCTGCCTGAGCCCGGTCACTTGTGCGAGGGCTGAGTCTGCGCTGGTCTGTCGCGTGGTCGGTGGCCGCAGCCTGGGGCTGGAGCCGCAGGAACCCCCTGTAATGGGGACTGGGCTAGGATCTAGAGGGCCCAGCTGAGATCGGGGGCCCTGGTGCTGCACGTAGACAGTGAGACAGTCCCTGCCTCAGAGCTTCCCAGCCACCCAGACGAGGCAGAGAGGAGAAGAGGGGAAACTGAGTCAAGGCAAGAGGCAGTTGCTGGCCCGAGGTCTCACGCGTAGGTGGTAGAAGCGCTGCCCACAGGACGGCACCCTGTCAAAGGAGGCTGGGGGTCGGGCTGGGCAGCGTCCCCCTGTGGGCTGACCGCTGCAAGCTGGTGTGTTTCCCGGCCTCTGTCGGCGTCGCCCACAGGGAGGTTTCGTTTCCTCCCACAGAACGTGAACTTCTTCACCAAGCCCCCGATCGGCACGTGGGACCAGGTGGCCGAGGTTCTGAGCTGGCAGTTCTCCTCCACCACCAAGCGGGGGCTCAGCATCGAACAGCTGACCACGCTGGCCGAGAAACTCCTAGGTAACCTGCCCTGCCCGTGGATTCTAAACCCCTTAGGCAGGCAGGTTCTCAGGAGGGGTGTGGGCTCTGTCCCTGGACCAGGGGGATGCTGTACCAATGCTTCGCGACCCAGGCAGCGAGTGCGAGAGAGAGGGGCTTGTGGCTGGCGTCCTTCCAGCCGGGGAGAGCTGGGTGTTGGTGTGGGGGGGTGAAACTCAGCAGGAGGCCCAGGCCCCGGTGAGCCTGGCCCGCCCTGCCCGGGCGGCTCTCGAGACATGGCAGGGTCCCTGCCAAGTGATGCAGGCCGAAGGCAGAGGCGGAGTTTGTTCCCGGCCTGACTCGCTAGCCGGGAGCGCGGCGGCAGCAGTGTGGCGTGTGGGGCTCTGTGGTCGGGCTCGGTTCAGGGACCGGTGGAAAACCTGTTCGTTAAGGAAATCTCTCCAGTGCTAACGACCTGCTCTGCCCCCACCCTAGGGCCAGGCGTCAACTACTCCGGCTGCCAGATCACGTGGGCCAAGTTCTGCAAGGTGAGAACTGCCCCACGCCCCACCCCACGTGCCCCTCCCCGGCCTGCGCTGACCTGGCCTCTCTCTCCTCCGCAGGAAAACATGGCCAGCAAAGGGTTTTCCTTCTGGGTCTGGCTGGACAACATCATCGACCTGGTGAAGAAATACATCCTGGCGCTGTGGAACGAAGGGTGAGCCGTGGCCACAAGCGCTGGGACCCTGCAGCTGGGGGGGGCCTGGGCCCTGGGGACGGAGGGGCTGAGACAGGAGCTGTAAGGTGGCTGTGGGGGGTGGGGGTGGGGGTGGGGGTCCATGACTCCCAAAGCCTGGGACGTTTTCCCTAACGCCAGCCCTTGCGAGCTCCCCTGGGCTCTGAGCCATGCTGGGGCCCTTGGCAGTTACTGAACTTTGTTTCAGGAGCTGATGCAGATTAGAAATGGGGGGTGCACGCTTTACTGGGGGGGCGGGGGGCATTGGCCCTGGGAACAGCTCAGCCAGGGCCCCTGTGCAGGCTTTGAACCAGGACTGGGGTCTCTCCCTGAAACGTGCCCTAGCCCCGCTCCACGCTGTGGGCTGGATGCTGGAGCCGGGTGGGATCTCTGGCCTGTGCGGTGCCGGTCAGCCCGGGGGCTCGGCTGGTCCTTTCTGGACTGAGCGCTGGGAAGCTCTGCAGCCGATGTCAGGCCCTCCAGGACACACGAGCCGGCCCGTTAGCCCTGGCGGCGTGGCCCCGTGTACCAGATTGGCAGCCCATTCTGAGGATGCACGTGGGGGCTGGACCACAGCTCCCTCCTTCCCTCCCGGCCGCGGCATTGACTGCATGGTGACAACTCGCAGGAAGAACCGTCCTGTGGTCAATGGATCTGTCTCGGCCAACGCCCAGGGGCAAATCAGTCCCTGGAGAAAGTTCCTCTCCTAGTCGCTTCAGATCATCCTCAGGCCCCCTGGCACCGCGCCTAGCAACCGTCCGCAGCAGCGGGGCGAGGGATCCCTTCCGCCAATAACGCGCAGCCCCAGCCGCGGCTGGCGGGTCCGCTCTGGTCCTGCGGCCGCTGTGCCGGCGGGTCGGGTCCG